GGAATCGAGTCAAATGACTGTCGATGATATCTTTGATATGAACTAGCACTCAATGCTATAAGTGGTTACGAGGATCTTAAATTCGAATCTGTCATATAATGTGGACAGATAAGTGATTAGCCAAATAAAATGCACTATTCAAGTATATTTTGTTTCACTAATTAGAAAAGTGATGTTTTTTGAACTTATAGTTCATAGATCAAAATATATGTTAGTGGGGTACAAATGAATCATTGTGCGAAAGTATAACCGTAAGATATAAAATATTGTTTGTGCCTCGGGGCATAATGGGTTTTCGCAGAAGTCCTGACATTATTAAATGGAGATATGTTCTCCAGTGGTGGATGCAATGAGACTTATTTCAGTCTGGCAATAGATGAAATACTTAAATATATATAATGAATGATTATTATGTCTAAATAGACGATGAAAGTTATATGAAAATCCTTGAAGGATTTCAAAGGTCTTAAAGCAGTTCCATTAAGTACCCAATGGTTTTGAGACTGCTTAACACAGAGGAAAAATCCTTTTGATCTCATGAAAATAATTTAAAATGTCATGTATTAGTGCAATTGGTGCACTTACAGATTGTTTGTTATGCAAATGCTAGAAGATTATTTGATATACATAAAGAAAGTTATGTGAAAGGATTGTCATATTATCATTCAAGTTATGACAAGAAACTAACAAAGCAAGTGACTCACACATAGATAAAGTGTGATTTTCTTTGAGAAGAAAAGACGAGCTTCAATAAAATTGAAATGATCAATCTCCGAGTCAGAAATGATTTGATTATGTAGATGCTGAATATTTATTTGATCCGCATAAAGCTTGATTGCAAATGAAGTATTTATTTACATATGGAGGCACAACAATATCTTGACATTCAAAGAATCAAACATTAGTAACCACTTCTTCAAATCATGCAGAAATAATACTGATTTATAAAGTAAGTCGGGAGTGTGTTTGGTTGGAATTATGATCAATCATATTCAAAAAATATGTGATTTTCTTTTGAAAAGGATATTCCAGCCACCATATACGAAAATAATATATAGCTCAGTTGAAGGGAGGATACAATCAAAGGAGTTCGAACAAAGTATATTTCACCAAAAGTCTTTTTCACACATGATCTTCAACAAAATAGTGAGATAGACGTTCAAAGATCCATTCAAGTGATAATCTTGTAAACTTATTCACTAAAGATTGCCAACATCAATATTTGAGAAGTTGTGATACAAGATTGGAATGCATTGTTTCCTAGATATCAAGTAAAGTTTATAGGGGAGAAAAATACGCGTTGTACTCTTTTCTTTAACCATGGTTTTATCCCAATTGGGTTTTCCTGGTAAGGTTTTTAACGAGGCAACATTCAAAGCGTATTAAAAGATATGTGTACTCTTTTTCCTTCACTAGGATTTTTCCCCACAGGGTTTTTTCCTAGTAAGATTTTAACGAGGCATATTATCTATGGACATCCAAGGGGGAGTGTTATAAAATAATATATTGTGGATGTCCACTATACAAGAAGTTACTCCATTACTTTCCTCCATTATGAAGATAACCATAACCTCCATAACCTCCACCTTTATAACCATTATTCTTGTAACCTTTTATTTCCATAACCTCCCCCATTATATTCATGTTAATGTCATGTTTATGACTAACCTTGGGTATGCCTCTATGTTACACTATAAATAGAGGCCTAGGATTCATATTGTATACACTTGATTATTTGGAAAAATAAGAAAACTCTCATCTCTTATCTTCCTATTTCTATTATCATCTTCAATATTTCTTGTCTTGTTTTGCTTTAGTTTTAAAGTATAAATGCACATATATAGATGACTACATATAAATAAATAAGTGAAAAGAGTTAGGAATATAATTTAAAAAAGACCATTAAGCTACGTTCAGGATCTTTTGACTTAGACCAAATGAGTTGACTATAATGTAAGATAGTGGATTTGTAAAATGTAATCACTCTTTTCTTTTTTTAAAAAAAAACTATAACTAAGTGTAATCATATCTAGTAATTCAATTGCAAAAGAGAAATTTTATAAATTTAGTTATATTTATCTGAATCAAGTGAAGCGGGATGATTAATGAAGAGTTGTGGAATAAATCCGTATATATTTTGTCCTACTCAACCCCATATAACACAATATTTTATTTTTTCCCCGCCCCGCAAAAAATTTAATCCGCACTATCCTGCAATCATGCATTATAATCCGTCTCATCCTGCTCTATTGCCACCTCTACGTCCATACAATAGTAAATATAGTTTAGATGTAATTCAATTGGCTTATAAATGCAATTGTTTTCACTTGTTATGGGTAATATACAAGTTTGCCAGCGAAATTTGAATATTTTTTATTATTTACATGCCTTATCATTTTCTCTTTTTCAGATTATTTTTTGCCACTTTTGTTTATCTATAAAAAGTGAAACAGCTAAAAGGATTGATATAGCTTCAGTCTTGTTGTTAGGAATCAAGGTAATAACTTCATTTTTAATAGTTTTCAATTATTATGAAGTTGTATTTTTGCATAGAATTTTTGAGATGCGATGGGAATTTATATATGTTTGTTTGTCAAAAAGCCATTATCAAGCCATAAAAATATTGCATCTTGAGGATGACTCTTTATCAAACTTTGTAGCATGTGTTGTCTCAAGTCCCAAGTTTACCAATCACATATTTTTTATTGATTAGATTGTCTATTTGATTATTGATCGACTTGTTCTATCAAGAGAAAAAAAAAATGTTATTTTTCATAATCTATTTCATGTAATAAAGACTTATTTTGTCAAAGAGAAAAAAATGTTTGTGAAATATCTATATCTATATCTATCTATATTACCTTAAAAGAATGAACTCCCAAACTTGAATGTTGAATTATTATAATACCTTCAATTAAAAATACTCAATTTATTATATTTATTAATTTTATTATATTAAAAGTAGATACCTTTTCACATAAAAGAGTTGTGATTTTTTCAAAGAGTTGTGACTTTTTCAAAAGGTTGTAACTTTTTTGATGGGTTGTGACATTTTCGATTAGTTGTGAATTTTCCGAAGGGTTGTGATTTTTCCGAATGGTTGTGACTTTTCCAAAGGGTTGTGACTTTTCCGATGAGCAGTGACTTTTTCGAAAGGTTGTAACTTTTCTGAAAGGCACAATTAACACATATTCATACTACTATTTGTTAGCTATAAATAAATGATTTTCCTCTCACTTTTAAACTATGATTTTGTTATGTTTTCACTCTTCTTCTTCTTCTAAAAATCTCAAGGGTTATTTGCAACAATTGATTAAATTCAAAATTCAATGAAATTCGAGGTACCACATAACAAGAGTTGGTGAAGACATTGTAGCAAATCATTCATCAATTCACTGACAAAAAGTTGTGTGAAAGATAATAATAATAAACAAATATGAAAATAGTCAGATGATTTGCGTAAGATATTTGTTATTTGTTTTTTTCATTTTTTTAATTCTTTTACCCTCAAACGAAGAAGGAGTTTCTTTCTAATTTTACTAAAACAAAGGGCATCAACACCGTTTATTGAATTATTAGTTTTGATGTTAAATCCACTCTTTCAAAAATGGATTTTCACTTTTACTTATAATATGATAATATAGTCATGATAATAATTTTTTTAATAGATATGTAAGAAAAATGAACGGAGGAAGTAAAGTGTTGGTGACAAGATATTTCAATAAATTGTTCCATATATTTTTTTCTTTTTTAAATTTATATTGAGTATGAGTACGAAATTTTTTAAGTATGAATTTTCTGTTATTTAGTGTTTATTTTAATTTGAGAAAATGTTATGTCACAAGATACACTCCTTGCTAGCTATATAAAAATAGATAAGAAAATAGTGATTGATCATAAAATAATCTTAAATCAAATTAAAGATTGTATAAATAATACTTTAAATTTTATTCATCAATTAATTTTTATATCACGATACAACTTTTATAAGATATTAGATACTTTCATTAGACAACAACTATATGATTTGTATGCGGCAAAAAATAGGAGAAGACTACAATTTTACAAAGATAAGGTAGACACTTAAAGAAATGAAATATTTTCACCAAAGGTTATGTTGTTCATATATTAACATTAAATTATGCTACTGAAATATATATATACTCTCAAACCTCTATTTGACCATCATTCGTTATAACAACAAAGTACCTTTAATTTTTGTAAAATTACCTCTCTATGATAGTCTTACTCAAATATTAATTGAGTACTAATATTTTATAAAAGATAGACTATGTATAAAGATAAAATATTGAAATATTTATGGTAATCCTTATTAGTGTCACGCACAAACTAAATTTCAAGTATGAATATTTAAGAGAAAAATTGTACTTAAATGATGTCTATCATTTATGTTGATAACCTCAAGAGGAAAGTCTATTGGTAACAATTTTTGTATGGATTTTTTTAAATTTTTTTTTGTCAATTAGATTTGTTTACAAAATTGACCGAAGTAAAATTAATACTACTAAAGAAATGTCACTTTCTTCCATATTTAAACTTTGAATGTATTTTGAAATGTTTCAATGATATCTTGTCATTTTGATCTCAAAATACAGGTTACTCTATGATAATATCTATTAATCATTTCAAAGAATTTGTTATATGTTCTTTCAATTATAATTATTTACTTAAAACATTAATTTAGTAATATTAATTCTATTTTACAACATTGTATACAATATATATGATACACACGTGTGTTTCGTGAAACTAGTAAATATATATATAATGCTTACAATCAGAGCAACTCCCTCTTATCAAATAAACATATTCGATAATTTAAAATGATCATAGAGTTCATTGAAAAGAATTGATTGTTTTTCGATTAATATATGTTTTCCTTTGCGCCAAGCCACTTGTCCAAGTGTGTAGCACTTTGTGCAATTAATGGGCCCATTAGTCTTCCAAATTACAAGCCCAAGTCATTTCTTCCCAAATTAATTTCCAACCTGGGTTTCTTCTTCCCAATAGTCAATTGAACCACCACCACAAAGTACACAACTCACTCTGCTGTGACACCGCCGGCGACGATCTGCTTAACTCCTCATCTTTCTCCGGCGACGACGTCTACTTGTAGGTGTAAGTCCTCTTTCTTCCTCATTAGTGAAAATTTCTAATCCTTTCTCCAAATGTTTTTTTGTGTCTGCTTCATATACCAATCAATTCTCTGATTTTCAAGGATTTTCTAGTCGTTTCTCTTCTTAGAAAAAAAATTAAAAACATAAAGCTCTAGAACAAATTTGAATTTTATCACATTTTAGAGAGTATAGTCTAATTTTGGTTTGCTGTCAGAACATAGATGGACTGCAACATTCTATCATTGAGTAGGTCCTGTAGCTTGGCTAGTAATCTTCGGGCAATTCCTACACGCAATACTGTATTTTATCGGAAATATTCTTATCTACCTGCAGGTATTACTTTCAGAAGTTCCTTCTTTTGCAGAATGTAATTTTGCATTTTGTGCATGGCATTTTTCGCAAAACTTTTAATTAGTTGCTTGTAATTGTTCTTATTGGTGAAAACCATTGCAAAGTTCTATGCTTTAAATTGAATGTGTCTTGTTGGTTTTGATGGTTATTAACAGGGTTAATTCGTAAGTCAATTAAGTGCTCAATGAAGTCGTATAAGTTATCGGAGCTTACAACTTCTGAGGTTGACAGCCTCAAGGCTCGTCCTCGCATTGACTTCTCCTCCATTTTCGGCACTGTGAGTTAACAATGCTTCTTGAACTAATTGTTTATTTTTTTTCCCTTTAACTTTTTTATGGTTCAATCTAATAGACTTTTTTTGAATGCTGAATGAATTATATCAGGTTCAACCCATTGTTGACGATGTTCGTAATAGAGGTGATGCTGCAGTTAAAGAGTTAGTGCTTGTTTATAGTTATGCCTTACTGTGTTTGTTTCATCAACAAATGTTACCCTGTATCTGCTATGTCAAGATCCCCTTATTTTCCCCTTCCCTTTCCATAAGAATGCAGAACATGAGTTTACCTTTAATGATTTTAAGGAAAAAAAATGCAGAACATGTGTTATTGATCCATAGAAAATGCCAAAGAAATGCTCCATGTGGAGGTGCTAGACTGTCATATCATATAAACAATTTGTGTGATATTAATGAATGATGTAAAGGGCATCTCTCCTAACATATTATGTCGTGTGTCCTCATTCCTATTGCATGGACCAAAATGATCAAAATAGTAAGTGACATAAAGATGAGGTTTACCATACTCCACATTTCAATCTCTTGTACAGTGTTTTTAAAAGTGAAACGCGCAATAAGACGACTAGGTTCCATAGAGAAGATCCAACTGGATGACCTTTGTCTTTTTGCAACTGACATAAAATATAAAAAATTAATGAATTCTATATTGCCATATCAGACACTCTCCCTACCTCCCTCTGTCTCTCCATTTTTAGTTCCCTTCGGAGACACTGGACATTGTGTCAACTTCTTATTAATTAGAGCTAATAACAAGTATCTTTGGAGTGTGTTTCTACTCTTTCTGTAATTGATTCTGATCTACTTTAGTTGACATTTTTTTAATTTGATGGACGAAGTAATTTCAAACCTTCATAATATCCCCAAGTTCAGATTAACTTGCTATAGAACTTACAAAAATCTTAATTTTTTTGCTCCTTGTCCATCACTTATCAATTTTAAGAGTTAATAGTTCCATGTGAAAGTAAAATTTGTCGCTAAAATTAATCTGTTTTGTTGTATTGATGTTACTTTGTTATGATATCTATAATGCGCAGCTACACATCACGGTTTGACAAAGTTGTACTGGATAAGATAGTTGAAGATGTCAATGAGCTTCCAGATCCTGAGGTATGTATTTGAATACACGCGTTTTTTTTATGACAGCAATGGGGATTAAAGATAGTATGACATTTTCTAAATAATTTTTCTTGAAAGACAATTGACTTCAGCTTTTCTAATTTTCAATCTAATTGCTTCTTTATTTGACTCAGCTCGATTCATCTGTTCGAGAAGCATTTGATGTGGCATATAACAACATATATGCCTTTCATGCTGCTCAAAAGCCTGTTGAGAAAGTTGTGGAGAACATGCATGTAAGTTTTGTGGATATTGTACAGGATTGATCTTAGTTGTGTGGGCTTATGTAGCAACATTGTGTTGACATTCTTACTTCTCCTTTAACTTCTGTATTTCCTACTTTGTCAGGGCGTCAGATGTAAACGTGTGGCTAGGAGCATTGCCTCTGTTGGGCTTTACGTTCCCGGTGGAACTGCTGTTTTACCTTCTACAGCTCTGATGCTTTCAGTTGTATGGTGATTCAATTTTCTGCTCTTATTAATCATTTCTTTCAACGCTAATTCCCTTATTACAAAATCATCAAATTTTCCCTTTGGCCAGCCAGCACAGATTGCTGGATGTAAAACAGTTGTACTTGCAACTCCACCTTCTCGGGATGGCAGTATTTGCAAGGTATTTGCTTACCATCTCAATTTGTTAGTATAACTTTATCAATGGTCATTTATTTAGACACCTTTCTTGTAGGAAGTGCTTTATTGTGCCAAGAAAGCAGGTGTGACCCACATCCTTAAAGCTGGAGGCGCTCAGGTATATGATGATATGCTTCCTTGATCTTGCATTCATCAACCATGTGCCTCTGACTCATTTCAATTAATTTCTTGCTTTTTGATCTTTTACTAACTGGGCCATTTATTGTAACTTTCTTAAATCCCACAGGCAATTTCTGCAATGGCCTGGGGCACTGAATCATGCCCAAAGGTACAACTTTCACCTCAAAGAATTGAAGCCTTCCATATTGAACCATACAAGCACTAGTATACTTCTATTGCTTTGCTGAGTTTACGCATGAGACACAGAATAATGTAATTAACATGAGTACATTCAAGCAATAAATCCTGGCTTGAGTAAACTGTAGACACATACTATATTTCTGAAGTGTTCTTTTTTTTTGTTGTTGTTGTTGTTGATAAAGTAAGAAATTATCATTGCATGGGCATCAGGAAGATGCCAAATTACAAAAGGTGTAACCAGTTGGCTCCAGTACAGAAGGGAAAAAAAACATTTCAGCACTGGTACAAGTAATCTAAGCTAGAACTAAGGAGCAAACAAAGTCCAGAAACATGTCAATGCTATCAACAGTGAAAGAAATTTCCAACTGAACAAATTAACTAACCATTTAGTCTTCAGAGAGTGGGTAGGAGTTGATATTCCATCAAAGCATCTGCAATTCCTATCATTGCATATAACCCAAAAAATGACTGCTGGGATCATCCTCCAGACTTTCTTGATGCCTTTGTTCAGTCTCCAAAAATCCAGCTGATGTAGGGCTCCTTGATTGACTTGGGCATACTCTAGGGGAGGCCATATATAGAGAAGATAAAGTTCCAATTTTCGGCTGTGATGGGGGCTGGGGCAGTGCAAAAACAGACGGCTAACACTCTCAAGATTCTGTTTGCATAAATAGCATCTGTTTACTAGAGTAAGTTTCCTTCTGCTAAGATTATCTTGTGTCAAGCAAGCATTATCTAGAGCTGTCCAGTCTAGGCAAGCAACTTTGAGTGGTGGTCTGGTCCTTCAAACATGCTTCCTAGGCCAATCCTCCAGAATTCCACCCTGTAAACACTTTAGATCATAACCTTCCTTGGTTGAGTACTTCCCTGCTTTAGATGTACCCCAAATGATTCTTGCTCATTAATGTTGAAATCTGCCAAGGTTGCAAGTAGAGCAATCAGGTCATTGATTTCCCAATCCTGTAGGTTCCTTCTGAAGGAGGGGCTCCGTATGTTGTTATCTATGTACTTGGTCTAGTGCATCAATGATTCAAAGAGCCATACTCAGCATCAGTTACATCTTTCCAGTAGCCTGGTTTACCATACCTCAACCATTTCATTAGCATACTTTGGTTGTGAAAGTTGAGATTCCTGATGCCTAGACCCCCTTGAACTTGGGTTTAGTTACTCTAGGCCTGCCATTTGACTAGACAGAATTTATGAGTTTCACTTTTATCTTTCCATAGGAAATAGTGAACAGTCATATACATATCCTAATTAGTTTACGATTTAGGCATAGTTGTTTTATTCATGAAAAATATAAGCTTTAATAATTGGACAAAGGTCGATGGAAAAGAAATTATGTATCCCTTTCATCAGTCCATATTTCCTTTAAAACATGATGTCCCTGCAGTTACAGTTATTGTAGGAAATGTTGTCGCTTGAAATAGGCAGGGCCGACTCAATAAGATTGGGGGCTTAAAGCAAAATTTAAGGGAGGGGCCCTAATATTTTGTTTTTTCATCATATATACTTTTATTTAAAATCTACTTTTCTAGCTTTTTTAGATGCGAAATCATTAGTTACTGTTTTATAATTGATTTGTTTTAATAAGATTTAATCAATGTTAGTTTCGAAAAACTTCTTTCGGCTGTGGCAACGGTTAGAGAAACTGTTAACATTATTCTATAAGCAATATGTGTAGAAAGAGAATCAAGTCTTTTATTTGATTGCGTATTTTCATTAGATAATTATCTTCTACATGTATTATTTCTCTTAACACTTTCAATTCAAAAAATAAATCTAAACCATCAATAACATAATAACTATTATGTGTTAAAGATCAAGTTTAAGACAATGATTTTTAAATTCTCATCATCTAGTGATCTCAATTTACCACTAAATAAGAAAAAAAAAACTATTTTCATATGCTTCATTGGTTCAAATCTATTTTGAAGTGAAAAAAATAGCTTAATCTACTCTCTCTCTCTCTCTATCTATCTATATATATATATAGTTTCAAGGGACTTTGTGATTTCGTTATCAATATTTTCATCAAATTGTTTCTTACGAAATTCAAGTTCTACATTCATTTCATATGCAATTTCCTTATGCCTTAGTAGAAATCATAGCACTCATAGTACATATAATTTTTTTTAAAAATAACATTCATAAGTAATTTTTTTTTTTAAAAATGGGGGCCCCCAAAAATATGGGACCCCAAGCGATTGCTTTAGTTGCCTAGGGGATAGGGACACTGATTTCTAGGCAGGAACAGGAATTAAAGCATGTGCATTGTAAATAAGCGTATGCTGAATAGATATTGCTAAATGAACCAATCTTAAGGGAAAGTCAACAAAGCAATTATGCCTTCTTATATTGATTGCTATCAAGAGAGGATTCCCTGTTATTGATTGTTGGAAAACATGATAGGTGATAGTAGGTGAACATAATATTAATAGATTTTTTTATTTTTTTTTTGAAACTGGTAAATGTGTATTCCTCAGCATTAAGGACATGCTGGACACCATCAAGAAGTGTTAGTTAAAAAAAAACAACTAGAAAAGAAGATACTTACAGAGATCTTAATAAATCTACAAATTGATCTATATCCTCTAAACCTACTCTTTACACCAAAAGTAGAAAGATATTATACAATTCCATTTAACTTTCTGGATGGAATTGGATCTATCTTCATACCACCTCCCATTTCTCTCTCTCCAAACTGTCCACCAGATGCATTGTGGGATGATCCTCCACCACTTCTTTTGACTTTTGCTGCCTCCTCTTTTCATCCAGCAACTAAGCAAATCTGCAGTATGCTCCGGCATAGTCCAGCTTGTCTTTGTTATGTTGAGAAATAGAGACCAAAGTTGTGCTGTAAAAGTGCTGTGCAAAAATAGATGACTGTTTGTTTCATTGCATAAGAAGCACCTGGAAACTATGATGGCCCCTTTTTTCTTCAAAACTTCTTGTGTCAGGCATGCTCTTTTAACCATCAACCAAGTAAAGCATTTTACCTTGGTTGGGGATGGACTATTCCATAAGTTTCTCCATATTTTTGGTTGCCCTCTACACTGTACCCTTTCTTCCATTTTATAAACCATTTTAACAGTGAATTGCTCATCGATATTGTGTTTCCATCTTAATGTATCTGGTTCAGCAGTAGTGCCATTGAAATCATCAATCCTATTTAGCAAATCGGCTACTCTATCAATCTTCCAGTCATTTAGCAATCTCCTGAAGAATAAGTTCTATCCCTGTGCGCTCCACATATCATAAATGGTGCCATCTGGGTTGTTGCTTAGAATAAACAGGTTTGGAAAAATCTCCATTAATGGACTTTGCTCCTTCCAAGCATCCTTCCAGAATTTTATTCTTTTCCCATCTCCAACTCTCTTCTGCAAGTTCCCTTCCAATATGGGCCAATATTAATAGAATTTTACACCTAAGGGTGTGGCTTAGTGGTCAATGAAGTGAGTTGATAACCATGGGGTTTCAGGTTCAAATCCCTTTCTCCCCATATGTCCTAGGCTTGGTGGATAGGGTTACCTGGTACTTGTTGCTGTGGGAGGTGACACGTATTTCGTGGAATTAGTTGAGGTGCATGCCTAACATCACTATTATTAAAAAAAATGTTAAAAAAATTTTCTATGAGGAGGAACTGCATCTCAGTAGCAGCTAAATACAAGCATTTCTATGTGATTCTTGTGGACACTGAAGAGCTCAGAGGCCCCTTCTCTTTTTTGCTTGGACAGTGAGAGTGTGAGCTAGTTCTAATAGATCTTCATGAAAAGGGACAGGAGAGTGGTAAGAGATAGAAGATCTTGTGTTGGTATATTCCTTCTTTTTAATTATTATTATTATTATTATTTAATAATAGTATTAGGATTAGAATTCATGTGGAGGAGTTTTTCTTGGTTGATTTACAGAAAAAGAAGATTGCCTATTTTTTTGAGAATTGAAGAAGATGTCCTTTTTTGTGTTGAGCAAATCGAATCAAGGCTTAATAAAACAAGAGTAGGACTGAGAAGTCTAGATAGTACTGTTGGTTTTAGTGGAAAGAACAAGAGAATGAGAATAGAAGAAGTTATGCTAGGGAGGCAAGCAGTCCAGTCTGATATTAGCTCAGGAAAGTCTGTCAAATTTTTTCTGCAGTGGTTTAGAGGCAGTTTTATCCCATAAAATACCGTATAAGTTTTTGGAGTATTTGACAGTTTGCCTTTTGTTTCTTTTAAATAAGTTCTCTGGTACTTGGCTGAAATTTATATTTTATTAGGGTTTACATCCACTTCTCAGAATATATATATATATATATCAAGGAAGATGCCCCTGTGTACAGTGTATGCAGTTGACCCTTATTGGTACATTGACAATATTTCTTACAAAGGAAAGTAATTATGGCTTGTATAAGCACATAAACATTGATCTGTTCCTTATACATCTGTAAAGCTACTAGCCTCAATGTCCTTGAATCCTCAGTCCTGTGGTTGCCTTGTATACTTTAATGAAGTTGGTTTCCTTTCTTATTGCCCTTTGGATCACTTTACAATCAAACTTTCCTCTTCTTTCATTCTCAAAAAAATATATAAAGGGGAAGCATTATGTACATTGCCATCTATGCCAGGTTGAGAAGATATATGGGCCTGGGAACCAGTATGTCACTGCTGCAAAAATGATTCTGCAGGTATTGGTTTCAAGTAAGAGACAATCTTAGGTTAGGGATATTTGCAATGTAGATAAATGTCACTCGTGATAAATACGCTGCTGAAAGACTAATGTCGTCACTTTAAATTGTCTTTTGCTAAGTAGTATTCTCTCTCAACAGAACAGCGAAGCGATGGTTTCAATTGACATGCCTGCTGGGCCTTCCGAAGTCCTTGTTATAGCTGACAAGCATTCCAGTCCTGTCCATGTGGCAGCAGATTTACTTTCACAGGTATCAACTCCATTTTTCACTGCTTGATCAAGTTTCCATTCATACTTTCTGTCTGAATCAAGTGCTCTTGTATTTCACATTGGGACAGCTTATGTCTCTTCTGAGATCAAAATAAGAGAAAATTTAAGCTTTTCATAGTGAAGAAGATCAACTGTTAATACAGATTGAACTGAAACTTCCATCAATACCTATCTATCATTGTAGCAAAGACTGGGCAACCTCTATTTATTCTTATCACCTCAAATGCATTTTTTCAGGCGGAGCATGGGCCAGATAGCCAAGTCGTACTGGTTATTGCTGGGGATGGTGTTGATCTAAATTCCATTCAAGAGGAAATTAGGAAGCAATGTCAAGCACTTCCAAGGGGAGAATTTGCACTTAAGGCACTAAGCCACAGCTTCACTGTGTTAGCACGGGATATGCTTGAGGTATGTTTGCAATTTGTTGATCTTGGTTGGCAGCAATTTGCTTACAGTTGGATGTATACTTTCTGTCATTAAACAATTCTTCCCGAATATAATATAAATAATCAATTACATCATTTATGTGAATGCAATATTCCTTATAAATTTCTGTCAGCTACAGCCTTTTCTCTTAGACTTAAATCACAATCTTTTCCAGGCAATTTCCTTCTCAAACATGTATGCACCTGAGCATCTGATAATCAATGTGGATGAAGCTGAGAAGTGGGAAAGTTTAATTGAGAATGCAGGTACTTTAGAGGAATGCGTTTGCTAAGTTTCTCTTTTTCCATTTGGCATATCCAATCTTCTGTTAGTGTTTTTGGGCTATTGGGGCTGCTGATTGTTTATGCGTATCTGAAATATGATCCACAAGCTTCTCTTGGTTTTTTGGCCATGTTAAGGCGAGATATATAGTGGATATATGTTCATTTTTATTCTTCCTATCTTTCTGAATTTCTTTATGTGAGTTTCCGCCCTGCCTTTTGTGATCTTCCATAGAACACAACTTCTCCATACGATTTAACTGCCTTTTTTCTTTACCCGAGATTACTGTTTCAGTTTCTATTTCTCCCCTTGTCTCATCATCCAGCTGGTTAATTTAAGGGGTTTTAGGCTGTATTGAACAGTGTGAGATTGATAGTTTTTTCTTCTTCTTATTCCTTGAACTGTATGATTTAGCTCTCAAGATGACAAATAGAAGGTTCATGATGGCTGGCCATTGGCGAGCTGGACAAGTTTTCTTCGCTAGTGATCCTGTTAAGTGTTTGCATTTTTCTTAAATTATTCCGTTTCTCCTTTTTTCTAGAAGATATTCGTGCATGGGTAGTTGACTAGCCTCTTCTTTTTTTCCGCATAGTAAGCTTGGGTTTCTACGATAAGCTCTAATATTTTCACTTTGGATGGTGGCTGGAACTGCTGGAATTGGCTCTAATATTTCGCTTCGGTAGTTGACATGCCATACTTTTCTCTGGGCTTAAAGAAATCTTGATTTACATTACAGTATTATAGATGAGGCAAATGATGTCTTCAGTGTTCGTATTTAGATACCAGGAAACTGGAAAGTAGGGTGGGTGCCTTGGAGGTTCATATTTTACCATCAATTAGCAACTTACTACTAATCAACCATGCTTCCCTTTGGTAAATCTTAACATATAAATAATCAACTCTGAATACTTGCAGGTTCTGTATTTATGGGACAGTGGACACCTGAGAGTGTAGGAGATTATGCAAGTGGAACTAACCATGTTCTTCCAACTTATGGGTATGCACGTATGTATGGTGGGGTCTCTTTGGACTCTTTCTTGAAGTACATCACTGTGCAGTCTTTGACAGAAGAAGGGCTGAGGAATCTTGGCCCTTACGTAGAGAAAATGGCCGAAGTTGAGGGTCTGGATGCCCACAAGAGGGCTGTAAGCCTCAGACTACAGGACATAGAAGCGAGACAAGCATCACACTCAAGATGATCCCTCGCTATTTGTATGCGTGAAAGAATAAATATTGAGCAATTCAACCTTTATGCAAATCTGAGGCTGTTTATAGTTTTGTTGAGGGGGTTTGAGGCTCTATATTACCTGCACTCTGATTTTTCTCATTCCAAGTGTTGAATTAAACACACATTTTGAAGAAAAAACAGTAATGGTAATGGGTACCATGGATGAGCTAGTTCATCTGCTGTATTTGTTAGAAATAAATTCAAACCAAATATCTGAGAAGATTTCATAAAATCCAGTAGTACTGAGTTTGAGGGTTGTATTTTAATTGGTATTTTGCCATGTTTTGTAACAAAAGTTGTATTGGAGCAAACATGTAACATTTTGGATTGTATCTGTAGTTGTGTTGACAAGAAGTTGCTTAGGCTACAGATATTGAAGAGCTAATTTGAATTTGTATTGGACATATCCCAATTAAGGGGTAAAACGCTCCTACCAAGAGTATTCCATAAACAATGTTTCAACCGTTAGATATGCACGTTAGACAACGACTCAACTAATTAAGTTGTGAAATTTTCATCGGCTATCTAATGGGTAAAAGTTATAACTCTTTATTTCAAACAACCACTAGTACAGTCGGGTCGATTTAGGTCCTAATTATGGTGCATATGCATTCATGATTTTTTTTGTTTGAAAAAGTAGGTATGTTATGTACATATTTTCCTAATGAGCGGTATGGATATACTAATTTGATGGCTTTGGTTTGAAAAACTAGAGCGGTTGTCTTATGTTGAGGATAAAATTAAAGATGATTCCGTGGTCGAGGACTTGAACCGTTTGTCGTTGTAACTTCACAAGTTTATGTGCCTCCGTTGCTCGTTTGCTAAAAGATGTACAAATATTGTAGATAAATGTAGAGAAAATGCCATAAATAGTATCTTAACTATAGGTGTAGTTTAAAATAGTCCTTAACTATATTTTCGTCAGATTTAGTCTTTTAACTATATAACAACTTATCAGTTTTGGTCACTTAACTATGCACTTACTAGTTTTAATTCTTTAAGTATTCAAAAACCTATCAGATTTGGTCCCTTTCTTTAAGTATTCAAAAACTTATCAGCTTTGGTCTTTGTCCATTTTTTAAATACAAATAACTTAGGTTATATTAACGAAATTCTTCATGAAATTAAATCTTTAACCTTTTTAAAAAAAAGTTGTTTCTCTATCCCCCACTATTTTTTCTTCAAATTACTCTTATGAAAAAAAAGTAACCTCAATGATTCAAAATAAAATCAACGAGGAAAGAAAATATAAGTCTTAATTTTATTCTATGGAGGATAAAATGAAGCATATAATTGTTGCTAATGACTTGAATATGTTGTGTTCCCTTCTTTGGCGGTTATCGGTTCATAATCAACACAATTTTTTTTAATTTTTTAATAAGAGATTTGATCTTATTACTCAAATTTTCTCTTAGTGAAATAAAATGAATAGAATAATAAAATTAATCTATTTAAAAGAAAAACTAAAAAAGAATTGCAAATTCGTTGGAGTACAAATTTTGAATTCAACAGATTCATTAGTAGCAGTAATATGCTTCATTTTTTGTTGTCTGTTGAATAAAATTATAACATATTTTCTTTTCTAGTGAATTTTATTTTGAATTGTTGAGGTTAAGGTTCTTTGCATAAGCCTAATTTGAAGTAAAAGTAGCGGTGAGAAAGAAACAACAAAACAAAAATGGCTAAAGAATTTAATTTCTCGAGACATGAATTTTGTTAATATAACCCTAAGTTATTTATATAAGAAATGAACAGAGATCAAACCTGGTAAGTTTATAAATAATTAGAGTACTAAAACCAATAAATGTATAGTTAAGAGACTAAAATCGATAAATGTATAGTTAAGAGACTAAAACCGATAAATGTATAGTTAAAAATAAATTTTTGAATAATTTAAGAACTAAATGGGATAAAAATATATTTACCATTTTAAACTTAAAATGTTAAAAGAACTATTTATGACATTTTCTCGATAAATGTACAACCTGCAAGCTACATAATCTTGTTTTTAAAATAAAAAATAAAAAATTGCAAGCATATCAATATCCCTTGAATTTCATTTTCTTCTTCATCATCAAACCCTTCACACTCCAAAATAATAGAGTTCACAATTGTTGAATTTCGTTTGTTATGGAAGATACACAACCAAATAAGCAAGACAACAACGGAGACTTATTCGATGATGCGGCGGACGAATTCCCCTTCGATGATTGCAGCGACATATTTTCCGACGCCGAAACCGGCGGATCGGAGGATGACGTAAACCTCAATCAATCCGCGGAAAATGAAAATTTCCCGTCGTCTTCTCTCCGGCACCGGCGACCTTTTTCTTTCAATGATTCTGGAAACGAGTCGACTAATTTTCGACCTTCTATAAGTTCCGAGATTTATTCGAATTCGAGAGAGCGAAAGATAAGGTTCTCAAGGAAATTGATGGCAGAAGATAAGGATAAGAATGGAAGTTTGGATAATATAGAAAGTTCGAACTCAATGCAGCTTGATTTGAGCACAAAAAGTCAAAAAGGTATAGGTGATGAACAAAATAAGGAGATTCCAACAGGTATGAATGAAAATAGTGTAATAATAGATAATTCGAATGATGCTTCTTCACTGCTGAAAGAGGATTCTGTAATTACTCATGTAAACAATGACGAAATCAATAATTCGGAGGAAGTTAATTCGCATTTGAGAGAAATTGATGATTCAAGTTCGAATATATTGTTTGATTTAGCGAATTTAGTTATAAAATCTGTTGGATTTCAAGTGAATATGTTGATAACTATTGTGAGTTTGATGATAAAGTTGTTTACATTTCCTGTATGGATAATTTATAGCTCTTATATGTTTGTGATGGATCCATTTCAAATAATGAGGCGTGTGAAACGATATGTAATACACAGGTTTATGAGGAGTTTTGGGTTTGTGTTTGAGAGTATGTTGAAATTTGTATCTGGATGGTTGAAGGAGCAGAGTTCAGTATGGAGGTTGGGGCTACAATTTGGATGGGGATGTTTGTGGTCTGTGTATGTTTGTTTTGTTTTGGTTGGATTGCTGGTATCAGCTTTTATAATGGGTGGCATCTTGATAAGAATTATGGTGGAAGAGCCAATCAGGATGAACGAGCCTTTGAATTTTGATTATACAGCAAAGAGCCCAGTTGCATATGTGCCGATAATAAGGAGTCCAGGTGTGACCTGTGGTGTAGATAGTCAAGTGGATGTTGGAATGGTTGATGGGGTGCGAGTTATCCCACCTAATCATAAGTTGCAGGTTACTGTTTCACTAATGTTGCCCGAGTCAGATTATAACAGAAATTTGGGCATTTTTCAGGTATGAGCGCAAGGACTTTTAAGTTTGATACCTGATGGATTTTTTGCTGCTAGATACAGAATAGTGGTAATTGGTAGTTCATCAACATGGGTTCATTGACCTGATCGGGAAGTAGTTTTTTTTAAAAAAATTGTGAAGTTATTGCTTTAGTTTATGCATACAAAGTTAGTCCCAACAGCTATGGAAGTCGCTTGACTGTGTACATTGTATGCCATATTTGTTATGTTTGGTGCTTTCTGCGAGGATCGAATTCTGTTGTATATTCAGATGGAAAATATAGTCTAGACATGGTTTTCTATTGCAAAATGATTATAAACTGCTATCTTCCAGATTAGTTTAACTAACACAAATGGGAAGTTGGAGTTTGAATAAGCTTTAGACATTTGATTTTGCTGACTGCGTACCTGGTTTGTGTATGACATACCATTGGTTTTTAAGCTAGTGCAATTTTCAATTGATATACTTTTAAAAAGCTGCACATAAAAAAGGAGACCCAGGGGGTGTGGGGAAGGGAGATAGTTGTAAGAATAAAATGTTTGTCCACAGTGATTTGAGTATTTGACATTAATTTCTTTCTCCTGTCTAGTGTCTATTTACCAAGTTAACATGTATGCTCCCTCCAATTCTAGTTTCATTTTGTCCGTTTCGTCTATGTATTGAAGAACTTGGCACAATTAATTTTATTGATTCACTCCTGGTAGAACTCAAGCCTACTACCTATTTTAGGAAAGCAAAGTTGAGATTTACATTGCCGACCCAAAATAATTCTATTTTCTTGAATTGTTGGTTTGTTATGCATTTCTACATGTTCGGTCTTACCTGAATGATTTACTAATTCTTTTGTTTCTTACACCTGAAGGTGCGGGTGGATTTCCTCACTTCTAATGGTAAAGTGCTATCTAGCGCCAGACGACCTTGTATGTTGCAATTCAAAAGCAATCCTATACGCCTTTTTTCTACTTTCCTTAAAGCTGCCCCCCTTGTCACTGGATATACATCAGAATCCCAAAAGTTAAAGGTAGACTTAAAGGGCTTCTCTGAAGGTTTCATTCCAACTGCATGCTTGAGGGTGATCATTGAGCAACGAGCTGAATTCCACCCTGGAGGTGGAGTTCCCGAAATATATGCTGCCTCTTTAACACTGGAGTCTGAACTTCCTTTTATGAAAAGAATGCTATGGTATTGGAAGACAACATTATTTGTGTGGGTTAGCATGACATTGTTTACAATGGAATTCCTTTTCGCTCTTCTTTGCTGCAAACCTCTTATCATTCCAAGATTACGATTGAGGCATGATCCGAACAGTCGTACAAGTTCACCGAACAATGCACCTATTGGAAGGTAGTAAAAGCTTATGTTTTGATCTCTTGAATCATGCTGCCATTTCTTTTTTGTTTGTACATAACAAGTAATTGTCGGTTTATTCTTTTTCCCCAAGTGTAACTTATTTTAACATGTATGCATAGTGAATGTTTTTATTTTTTTTCTCTGAAAATGTACACCCTCTCATGAGCTTCCAGTTTCTTTGGCTAGCATAACATTGGGTCCTGAATTTTACAAATGTCGGATACTTTGCGTTTCCTAAAATTTCCTCTGTAAAGTATCATTTAGAAATAGTGCCGATATAGTCATTTCCTATATGGACAGAGTTCTGGGAAATTTAATGTGGTTATGAGACTACTGCCGTTAGTGTGCTCGTGATAATATTTTCTTATGGTAAAACCTGAAAATGATTAATGAAGCGCCTCAATTGAAGAATATAATCTAAAGATTAGCTAAACAGTAGATATCTAAATATCTAACATATAAGTTATAATAAATGGTAGCTGCCAAATGCTTCTACCAATTCTAAAGAACTGCATAGAGGACCAGAAGTGTGGGTTTTTTATTAAGCATTTTTTGGGCTAATCTTCTGCGGAAAGACTTAAACCTAGACCCGAGAAGTGGTTGATTATTTGGACGGGCACAGTAGTGTTTGTTGTTTAAACTTTGTTTTGGGTTAATCTTCTGAGAAAGGGAAGAAACTTAGTGACTTCATTATAGGGCTTAACAGACTTCATGGCATTGTAAAACCAGATACCAGTTATAGCTCCTGCTGTAGGACCCAAAATGTATATCCATTATTTCTTGTAACAATTTGATAAAATTGTTGGCCCCAAACTTCGTGCAGGATTCATTGATGCCCCTGAAATAGGCTTGTTCATCAAAATAGCCAAATGTCTCCAGTTAGGCAAATTTGTAGAATGAAGAAGAGTTAAGACTCCAAATAACACCACTAGAAACTTTTACTCCCAACTCAGTTATGAATGTTGGCCCTGTACTTGTTTTATTTATGAAAATCATGTTATTATATAGGTTCATCCCCATGCTCCTATTCTTGTAGCTTTTCACTTAGTTTTAACTTCCAATTTGCTGATGATAGTCTGAACTGTGAAGTATTCTTTCACTTTGAGATACTCATGTTTATTTTTGAAGCTATTTTAGGAAAACACATTCTTTTTAAATGCTTCGCTTTAGAAAAATGCATTCTGAAATGGGTCCAAAGTAAGTGGGAAACCAGAAGTTATCTATTTAGCATATCCAGCAAGGATAGAGTTAATTGTGATTACAGCTCCAATAACATGTCCAGTGAGTTCTCCAACCTGCATCAGTAAACAGAGAGAAGGATAGAATAAGTTGAATTCTGTCGTAGGACCTTTACATTTAAACATGCAGTGATCACTAACAGCTTGATTATCCATTGTGGTGCCTGGAACAACAAACTTGAGGTAGAAAGTGATCAAGAATTCTAATCCAAGAGACTGCAAATCTGAGCCAGCTGGAATTGTTCTCAGAAACTGAAGTTGCTCTTCCTTGAACATTAATCTCACAGTGACAGTTGCTAGAGTTGCTCCCATGACTTGTGCTAATATATATGCTGGCACCTGAAAATAGAGTAGCCCCAAAAGCGAGGGGAAACATCCTTAAGTACATTTTTGGTTGTTGTTTAGTTCTTTCTTGCTGATTCTTGTTGTATTTTGGTAAACTTAGAATGGAGAAACTTACATGTCTCCATGCTATCCTCTTACATGAAGCAAAAGCAACGGTGACAGCAGGGTTAAAATGGGCACCAGAAACATGCCCAACAGTGTAGATCATAACCATCATATCCAAACCCCACAAAACTGCTATTCCTAGAAGGCCTATTGTCACGGACTTAGAGTCTTACTAAAGCTCCGTGCGGCACTTGACAACTTACTTACGAATCTTTCATGATCTTGTAAGCTCAAGTAAGCCCTTTGAAACTAAGATCGCTAAGAGAATGAAAAGGAAGACTTAGAGAAATTTAGGTCTTATATTGCTTATAAGAAAGCTTTACAAGTTGTTGGATGCTTGTTCTCAAGCTTGGATGCCTTGCAAATGAATGACATCCCCTATTTACAATAACTCCTAAGGACTAAAGTGCAATTAAAAATTACTTACAAGTCCCTAGATTATTTACGCAAAGGCCCCTCTCTAGAATACTCTACACACTCTAGAGAATTCTAAGGCTTTTCTTGAAAAGTCTTAAGTGATTCTAGAGAATTCTAAGGAATTCTAGAGAATTCTATGGAATTCTCTAGCCTTCTTGAATATTCTAAAAGGTTCTAGAGTTCTCCGCAAACCTCTCCACAACTCTAGACCTTTCCGCCCCTATCCGGACACAAAATTTAATTGTGAAGTGGCAGGACGTGACACTATGATCTTGTTCACCACCATGGCAGCAAAACCAGCAAACATCGATAAGTAGGTGCCTAGAAGCTCTGCCACTAACTGCATTGAAAACAAAAGATTATTCATCAACTGGTTCCATATCCTATATGTTATAAATGCATGTTATATGGACAATTAGTTTGCCTTATGACTGTCAGTGTTATATCAGGTGCTTGTGGCGTTTCGCTAGTTCAAGGTATTTACAGTATGTTGTGAAACTATCTTCTTTAAGCTAAGTGAGCTTTTCCCATAATACTTCACACCATTAAAAGTATCACTACCATATATGTAACTTAGCTTATTTTCTTATCAACTTTTAATGTGAGCACTAAACCACTTGTTAGAAAGTGAAGGTACTTGTGTAGGGTTACTTATGCCATTATCTGCAACTCATAGACAAGTTGATGTAATATAAATGAGTTATCTTCAATTTTCAAGATGTGAAATCCTTTAGTAGAATGAGAACTAGTTATATGAAGCATCAAAGAATTGGAAGAGTGAGTTTACCTTTTGAGTGAAGCTTATAGTTTCATCATCAAGTTTCTTGGATGCCAAACATGGACAAGAAAGAATATGATGCTCATGATCATCTTTGATTGCTAAATGTCATGTCCCACCACACCATAGTTAAATTTTGCATCCGGATAGGGGCGGAAGGGTCTAGAGTTGTGGAGAGGTTTGCGGAGAACTCTAGAACCTTTTAGATTATTCAAGAAGGCTAGAGAATTCTAAGGAATTCTCTTGAATAATTTAGATAGTCTCCAAGAAAGCCTTAAAATTCTCTAGAGTGTGTAGAGAATTCTAGAGAGGGGCTTTTGTGTTAATATTTTAGGGACTTGTAAGTAATTTTTAATTGCACTTTAGTCCTTAGGAGTTAGTATAAATAGGGGGTGCCATTCATTTGCAAGGCATCCAACAATCACTCAAGTGTAAAGCAATCTTCCAATAGCAATACAAAAACCTTCTTCCAAAACTCTCTCTTTGTTCTTTCTAAGTCTTTCCTTAAGCATTCTCTTAGCGATCCAAGTCTTAAAGGCTTTTTTGAATTTACAAGATCTTGAAAGAGTAGTAAGTAAATTGTCAAGGGCCGCACGGAACTTTAGCCATCACTCTAAGTCCGTGACAAAGTGGTATCAGAGCGAAGGTTTGCACTAAGGGAATGGCAACCGAAGGGGACGTAAACGCCGCTAGCACCACCAACATCCGTCCGGATGGTGGAAAGAGGAATCGTAAGGGAAAGAAGCACCAAAAGAGTAATGAGGAAATACTGCTGGATCCCACACCAAGCGAGGCGCTAACATCTCATCCACCTTCGACCATCGAAGCAAGTAACGATGAATGTGGCGAGGAGCCTATTGACGTCACCGCTGGAGAAGAATGGGTCGCAAGGGTTGAAATGGCAAGGCAGGCCGTGGAGATATTAGGCCGGCGTTTGAATGTGGCTGATGGCAAGTTCAAGACTCTTGAGGACTTCACCCTTGAGGAGATTGAAAACATCCGTAAGGAGTTGGAGGGACGTCAGCGGGCCGAGTTTGAGATGAATGAGGCCATCACTTCCTTGGAGTGCCGGCTCATGGAGGCATTGAACACAATTGAAACCATGAAGGCCGAAATGAGGACACTCAAAGAAGGCATGAAAGTTGGAGGATCTGCATCATCCGACCGTGATAGGGAGGCCAGGGTCGAGGCTCCCAAGCCACCTATGTTTAAAGGCATCCGCGATGCTCAAGAGGTGGAGAATTTCTTGTGGCACTTGGAGAATTACTTCAACTGTAGCCGGGTGAAGAGTCACGAGACCAAGATCAACACTGCCGTGTTGTATCTTTCGGAGATGGCTATGCTATGGTGGAGACGCAAAGAGGCCGAGATAGGGAAGGGGACGTACGCCATCAACACCTGGGAGCGATTCCGGGAGGAGTTCAAGAAAACCTTCTTCCCTAATAACGTCGTCTATGAGGCGAAGCGCAAGTTTAGGGAGCTGAAGCAAACGGGCAGCATCCGCGCATATGTGCAGGAATTCACTACCCTCACGCTTCAAATTCCTAACCTCACAGATGATAATATGTTGTTCCACTTCATGGATGGGCTGCAAAATTGGGCCAGGACGGAGTTGGAACGTCGGCAAGTCAGGATCATAGATGAAGCCATCACGCAGGCCGAAGCTTTGGCAGACTTCAGGCAGGAGAAGCCTGTCAGAGCCAGAGGAGAAGAGATGAGAGGTAGTCATGACCATGGTGGGGGAGACCGTGGCAAAGGCGAGGAGCAGCGGCCACATCCCAAGAATCATGATACCTACAAGTCCGATGGCAAGAAGTCTGGACGTCATGGCAACACGGAGAGGAAGACAGAGGTTGCCAACAAAGGTGGTTGCTACATATGCGGCGGGCCGCATGGTTATGCAAGGTGCCCTGAACTGAAGAGCCTTGGTGCCATCCTGCGAGAGCGGAAGGAGAAAGACGCCCAGGAGCAAAGACAAGGCGAAAGGACGACGCAGTTGGGCTTGATAGGACTATGCGGAGCCATCACGAAGCAGCCAGAGAAGCCAAGAGGATACGGCGCGCAGTATGTCGACCTTAAGATCAATGGAAAACCCTTTGTTCTTTGGTCGACACGGGTGCAGAGGTCAATCTGATGACCAAAAAGGCAGCAACGAGGTTAGGGCTGAGTTACAGTTCAAGCAACACCCAACTCAGGACGGTCAATGCACCCCCAACTCCTGTGAACGGAGTCGCGCATGGAGTAAGCATCACGCTAGGCGAGTGGCAAGGTAAGACCAATTTCACTGTCGCTTCTTTAGATCTCTTTGACATAATTCTTGGGCATGAGTTCTTCCAGCAGTGCCACGCGGTGATCGACCCCTACCTCCAACGACTTCTAGTCATGGAGCAAGGAAGATCAGGTATGGTGCCTATGGTCAAGGTGCCGAAGACGGAAGGACAAGTTCGCCTAACGGCCATGCAGCTCGAGAAAAACTCTAAAAAGAAGGAGTCGACGTCTAGAGCCATCATTGCAAGTTCAAAGAAGGACAATGGTGCAAGTAGGTCCTTGCCACTATGCATGAAGAAGGTGCCAAAAGGGAACAATGTCATGATGCCAAAGAAGCCACCGAAGCACTTGCCTCCTAGGAAGGAGGTAGGTCATAAGTCTGAGCTAGAAGTGATATGGAGGACGTTGAAGGCATTGCGCAAGGGCCTTAATCGAGTCAATGGACTATTGGTCGCGCACGCACAAGGCTCAGATGACGATGTAGCAACAATGCGACGCGGTCGTTGCATCAATAGGTGGGGGAGAGTGTCATGTCCCGCCACACCATAGTTAAATTTTGCATCCGGATAGGGGCGGAAGGGTCTAGAGTTGTGGAGAGGTTTGCGGAGAACTCTAGAACCTTTTAGATTATTCAAGAAGGCTAGAGAATTCCTTAGAATTCTCTAGAATAATTTAGATAGTCTCCAAGAAAGCCTTAAAATTCTCTAGAGTGTGTAGAGAATTCTAGAGAGGGGCTTTTGTGTTAATATCTTAGGGACTTGTAAGTAATTTTTAATTGCACTTTAGTCCTTAGGAGTTAGTATAAATAGGGGGTGCCATTCATTTGCAAGGCATCCAACAATCACTCAAGTGTAAAGCAATCTTCCAATAGAAATACAAAAGCCTTCTTCCAAAACTCTCTCTTTGTTCTTTCTAAGTCTTTCCTTAAGCATTCTCTTAGCGATCCAAGTCTTAAAGGCTTCCTTGAATTTACAAGATCTTGAAAGAGTAGTGAGTAAATTGTCAAGGGCCGCACGGAACTTTAGCCAACACTCTAAGTCCGTGACATAAAGTTGTTGCATGACTGATATCTGATATCTCAGCCATTCTTGAACTCTCTCTCAAGTATTAGAAAACTTTGATTTCACTTAATCTCCCTTTGAATGTGGAGATATATAGGAGGCATTTATTTTTGTTTCTTTAAGGTGGGGTGGGCTGGGTGGCAATTCATTAGATGGTGGAAATCTGAAAACATGCAAGAATTGACTACAAAGTTTTTTAGTGCCCTTTTGGAAACACCATCTTTTTACCCTTGCTAATGTAAGTATTATACAAGAACTGTAGTTTGTGAATGGAAAATGACCAATATGTTTCAATTCTCTGTAATAAACAAAAATTAGAAAAAGCCAAAGGGTTTATGGAAAATATTGCAAAAGTCCAAATGCTCAAACACAAAATCCAATACTTTGTTCTCTTAATGCCAATAATTCTATTGTCTGGGTTAATTCTTATGGTAAAGTGATTTGTGCCACTAAAGTTTAACTAAATTGCTATGTATACTCAAAGCTCAAAAGATGTTAATCTAGCTCATTTTAGTTGTTCACATGGTAAAGTTGAGATCTACAGTAATGTTGATTTCAGTAGAGGACAAGAGATAACCAACTTCA